CCTAAGATCGGTTTCTTTTTCTTCCAGATCGGACCGCTGATATATGCCCGACAACTGTTCGCGAGCAACAAAGCGCCGGAGCGAGCGCGCCCGGCCACGTGTGCAGGATCGCTGGTCGTGTCTCTTCATCCCTGGCTTTCTTTTATCGACGGAACGATCATCGATTGTCACGCCGTTCTTACCTGTACGTCGTGAGCTTGATATTCGGAACGAGGTTATCATTTATCCCCGAGTTTTCGGCAGAAGCCGGTACACCGAGGGCTAGGGAAACATACGCGGCCGGCGGATCCTGCGGTCGCGCGACGAACGAAAATACGAATGAGCCCGGCCGCAGGACAGGTTCTCCATTCCGAGAAACGTTCGGGCCACTCAAAGGAAGATTAAGGACTTACGCAAACACGCCGGTACACGCGTTCAACGTTCGGAGGATCGGTCTTACAACGCGGCCATAGAATCCGGCGAGTAAAGCTGTCGCGCGGAAGAGATACCGGCGAGTCCTCCCGGTGTCTGGCGCGGCGCTATCGCGATCCTTCCACCGTAAGGACAACGCTCGCCCGAGAGCGCGCGAGTGTATATGTCTCCGTCGTCAATAACGAAAATGTACGCGACTCTCCGCGGCCCGGCGGTATCAGGACACCAGGTTTTCGCCGGGCCAGCAGCGCGGACGCACTGAAAGCGACCTCTTTAAATGCGAACGCGACAAATGTATCTCGCGAGGGGTTCCATTAACTATCTCGACGCCGGGGAGCGTTACGTATCGCGGAGGCCTCTCGCCGGCCGCGGCGTTCCTCTCGTTATGCAGATTCGTCACTCGATTCGACGATGATTCACGCGGCCGTCGCGTGAATTAAATCATCCGCCGTTCAGAGTACCGCGAAACCGAACGCTTTCGCCTCGAATATCGCCTTTGTCGCGGCTCGAGGGCAGGACTTTCGAGGAATGTTTGCTCATTCGCTTATCGGTTTAAACTCGAAGACGGAGGAGGTCTCTTCGACGCTAGAACCGCCGGACGGGTCGAAATGATTTACTCCTCGCTTCTTCTTTTGTATCGATTAAAGAGACCCAACTGCTTTTCTCGGAAGTTCTTAAACGCGATGATACAGCACCGGGCGAACTGAAATATGAGTCAGTTGGAATCTGAATAAATGTACTCTCGTCGTTTCTGGGCGAAATGAAGGTTTACCTACTCGACTGCTCGGTAGCTCTAGTGCTGAGTCGAGGGGATTCGTGAAAAATTCCTAGTTTTCTTGTATTGTCGGTTGGTTTGCTAGTTCAAGCTAGATTGAAAATAATTGTACCCTCATCATTTCTGTTTGAAATGAAAGTTTACCTATTCGACTGCTCGGTAGTTCTAGTGTTAAGTTGAGGGGATTCATGAAAAATTAGGAAACTGTTTGTATTGTCAGTTGAATAATTAGTCCAAGCTAGATGATTGCAAAGGGACACTTGTGTTGTATTGGTTTGCTAGTTCAAGCTGAATGATTGAAAATAATTATACTCTCATCATTTCTGTTTGAAATGAAAGTTTACCTATTCGACTACTTAGTAGTTCTAGTGCTAAGTCGAGAGGATTCATAAAAAATTCAGAGTCTTCTTGTATTGTCAGTTGGTTTGCTAGTTCAAGCTAGATGATTGAAAATAATTGTACCCTCATCACTTCTGTTCTAAATGAAAGTTTACCTATTCGACTGCTCGGTAATTCTAATGCTAAGTCGAGGATACTCACGAAAAATTAGGAAACAGTTTGCTTATATCTTCAGTTGAATAATTAGTCCAAGCCGGATGATTGCAAAGGAACACATTCTGTTCGCAGAAATCAGAGCAGTGCGGATAAACGGATGAACACACGGGCGACTAAGTGCATCGGCCGACCGACTTTCGGAATCGAAAACCGAACCAGCGGAGGAAGCGGAGGAGAGCATGCATCGTTGGGCTGATCAAACGTAGGCCGTGTCTACTTCCTTGGCGGCCCCGCGGTGTATTTCGTTCGCTCTTTGATCGCGACTCGATCCCAGCTCGATTTTCCGGTAAATACACCGAAAAGGAGTCCACCGGGCAATCTCGCTGATTGGTTAATGGCGATCAAAGCTGAATTTTGTACATCGTGCAATTATTTGCCCTGCAGTCTGGCTATTACTAGGTGCGCCAGATTGCGGCGCGCCGCGGCGTACGCCAAACCGATCTATATCTGTCTACGTCGATTCATCCACGAGCGAGCGCGCGTATGCTTGAAAACGCCTGCATCGAAATTGTCAATTAATTTTCGCGATGCGAATGCCGCTCCTTCGCCGACTCGTCCTGGAAACGCACCGCTCGGTCGTCACCTTTTCCAGCCGAAATATCGACTATCCGCGAAAGTTCTTTCCGAAGGAAAAAGTGTTCAGAACTCTTGGAACAAGGTGAATTACTGTGTCAGAGAGATTTAACCCTTTGCAACCGAGAGGTGAGTCACCGCGTGATTCGATACAAAACTATGAAGTTGAATGTTTCATATTTCAAATTGAAGTTTACATTGCTACGTGAAATAGTTAAGTCAAACACCTCTGTTGCTTAATTTATCTATGAATTATCGTTGAATTAGTTTCTAGCAATATGACCTATATCTCGTCGGAAAATATTTCCATTGAGAAACTTTCGAGTGCAAAGGGCTAAACCTTCACGGATGTCAACATTCCGATACGAAAATTCCATATTTCCAAGACCAAATCGAAAACAAATGATTCAAGTACTCGAACTGCAAGAGATCAGTAGCTTTTTTATCTACTAATTAAGCAATTGATATACAATTTAGCTTCTATTGAAGGTTTCGTACATTTCAAAGAATCTTCGTCAAAGATTTAACCCTTAGCACTCCAGATGGTTTTGTAATCTATCTTCTATTTTCCTTCTTAGTGCAAAATTTGGATGTGTGAAAAATCTAATAATTGTGGGGTTGTTTCTTTAAGATTCATTAAAATGTCTAATATTATTCCTGGTGCAATATTGGAGCCTACGGAGTTGAAAGGATTAATTATTGGATGTACATTACTGATAACATTGATTCTACAATTGACCAATATATCATACACTCTTACAATTCGAAATCGGCGCGAACTTTCGCGCACGTCGAATAGGTTCCAGGGTGAATCACCTAGCCTCGGAGCGTACTTTTTATTATTCGCGGCTTCTTCTGGCACACCTTCGTTTTTCGGTGCTTTATGCGCGAACGGATATACGCGCCGGATTATTCTCGCCGCTTCTCTTTCGCTCTTCCTTCGTTATTCTTTATTCCCTTCGCGTTTCGTCTCTGTTTCTCGGACCTCTCCGTCCGTCGTCGGCCGCTCGCTCCCTCTTTCGCCGTCGGTCGCTCCAGCCACAGCAAATTCGCATCGGCCATCAGCCGGTGCCAATAACGTACCAAGGCAGATGGGAGATGTGGCGAGGGTTCGGTGGTTAGCCCGACGTCGGCGGGGCGAAGGGATGCTTTACTGTCTGCAGGGCTGTGCTCCGCGATCCCGGCGCCCGATACTCGCGGTTACGCCTCTGGAAAATCGGCCGTGCGTTCTTCTGACCGTTTGCCATTGTACGCCGACTTCTTTCGCACGAAGGAATTCCAGTTTTATTCATTCTACTTAACGCTAGAACTGCCGAGCACTTAACACTAGGTTTAAGGGCATTTATTGTACACTTCATTCTAGTATTCCTAAAAGAATCGATGCTCATTTAGATTGTGGAAACTGGAGATATGATAGTGGGTAATTGGGGTACGTGTCGGTGGGATCGCATCAATCGAAATCGGCGTAAACATTTAAAATAATATTTCTAAAATCTAATATGCGTCAATTTCACGCGTTCCGCAAACCTAGTGTTAAAATACTAAATATTCAACTTCATAGTTTTGCTGTATCAACTAAAGTGGTGACTGAGAGTCACCTCTCGAGTGCAAAGGGTTAATATTATCTAACTAGACAAAGACGATTTGTTGAAATGAACTCGGTCACAAGTAAATTGAGAAACAAAGCTTTCTTATCCCAATGTTTCACCGATGTATTATACATATTCAATATTGAATATCAAATTTTCTAATTTTTCTGCATAAATCAAACGGTGACTTAGTCACCTCTTGACCTCTTGAACGTTTCAATTGGTTTATACTTGAGTTTAGGTACTAGTGAATCAGCTTCTTTAATCATTCTTTCACCTCTTGATTTATCGTGTCGAACTCCTGATGAAAATTTCAAACTGAATTTGAGAAATCTATTACTTGTATTCTTTAAATAAGTTAAATATTGCTTCTATTATTAATTATTAACGACTGAAGGAAACGTAGATGTAGAATAAGCATCAAAATTCTTTTCCTAATAAGTTATAAAGTAGTTGCATCGATCATAGCTAAGAGATGAATCACAGAGCAAAGAGTCAAAGTATCCATAACTTTGCAGTCATTCCAAAAGAAATTGGTCATCTTAACCCACCCAGTAGTTCCAGTGTCAAGCATCAAAATTGTCTTTTCCTAATAAATTATAAAGTAATTGCATCGATCATAGCTAAGAGACAAATCACAGAGCAGAGTCAAAGTATCCATACCTTTGCAGTCATTCCAAAAGAAACTGATCATCTCAACCCACCCAGTAGTTCTACTGTTAAGCACCATTCCACTATCCTCTATATATTAATTACCAGCTGAGCCACAGCCCATGACTCATCCAAAAGCCCTCAGCAACATCTTACATAAATCTCATTCATCCACGTATTCTTCCCCCACACATCTATCGTCGAATGACACTATACCGTTTCCAGGCGGCAAGCAACCCAGGAACCAGCAGCAGATCAAGCTCCTCAATCCACCTTCCACGAATCGTTCGCCGTCGTCATCGTGAAGTAACGCCAAGTGCATCGAGGACTCGGCGGAACAGTAACGGCCGGTTTATCAGTCGGATCAATCGTTTCGCGTCAACGGCCCGGAAGGAATTCGGGAGGTGTGCTTTCACGGGCGCGTCGACGCGCAGCTGCTCCCGGTAACGCGGCGACGATAATGCGGAAACTTTCACCGGCCGGAAATCGAGGCTCGGCCGAGAAAAATTTCAATCGGGGCCGTCTCCGTCGAGCGGATAATTCAAAGTCAAGTGCACGCACCGCGCTCGCTCTTTCTCTTTCTCTCTTTCTCTCTCGCCCTCGCGTTGCTCCCTGTCGCGACCGGTCGGTTAATTTGTCGCGCGTTTCAGCCCGCGAGACGACGCCTTTGAAACGACCCTCGCGAGCGCGCCACCGCTTTTTCCCATGCACGCAACTTTGTCCACGCGGCCGTGAGATCACCGCGGGGGCATTAACGCGTCCAGCCCGACCGTGCTGAAAACATGCGCGGGCACACGCCGGCATCCACACGGAGTGCCGATGCACTTTATCATCGTGTTGTACTTTTCCTATCGCGCCGCGCGATTCCCCGCTTGCCGAACGCGATACCGGTGATTGTTTAAACAAAGATTCCCTCCGAGCGCGGCCGATTGTTCCTTCGGGCAGATTCTTTTTATCGGAATTAACGGGGGAAAAGTGTGTTTGCAGGGTGGGAGGCTTGTGGAGGGATTGATAGCTTTTTAGATGTTTGTTTGAACGGTTCAAGGTTGATGCGTTCTTGGGTTGAGGTTTGACGCGAATGCTGTGGGTCACGGTGACCCGAGCAAATTGAGTTATAGTTCATGAGGCGATTCTATGGAAATGTTTGTATATTGTAAATAGTGCTGTATAGTACTGTGGCATTTAGATGAACGTGGAGTAGTAATTCGGTTGAATGATTTAACCCTTTGCACTAGGGAGTTTCTTAGAAATTTTTAACATTTTTTGATGAGACGATATTTGAAAGGAAATAAGTACATTGAGGAGCAAAGCTATTTTATTCTAATATTTCACGTGTCAAGGCATTATACAGAGTTCAACATTGAATATCAAATTTTATAGTTATATCGTGTCAAATCAAACAACTGAGAGTTACAAGTGCAAAGGGTTAATATTGTATTTTTTTCTATTTTGTATTTTCCTACAAAGAAATGTTTAACAATTTGAAATCACAAGTAGATTGACGAACAAAGCTATTTTATTCCAATATTTCACGTGTCAAGGAATTATACAAAGTTCACCATTACATATCAGATTTTATAATTATATCGATTTGACACGATACCGTCATGACGCGAATCGTGCGGCATTCAACGCGTCAAACATTTTCATTTCACGTCGGTTATCTATGTTACGATTTTCTAATCGTTCAAAGTCACCAGTGACTGCCGCTTAACGTGTTAATAATTACTAGTCCGATTAGTCCATTGATCACAGTTGAGATTCGAATTTCCACTACACCGTCCGTCGACCTCTCCGACGAAGGATCCCAGAATGCATTCGATCTTCGAGTGCATCTTCGAAGATCCCGGTCCGGCGCGAAGTGATTCTCCTCTGACAAAGAAACAATGAATGACTTGCGAAGAATTTCGCTGATTTTTGCGCGGCTTAATTATAGACGCTCAAGGCCTCCGGACGCGGTGAAAATTAACATGCCGCTCCCCCGGAGGAGCGCCTCTTTGCACTTGTGCCGGCGGATGAAAAATTTATTCATACTGGCTCCCGTTGCTGGCCGAGGATTGTATTTGTATAACTCGAAACAGCCAGTTCTATATTAATCCCCTATCTACTAATTCGATTAATTACTACTGCCCATACATTTCCAAAGAGACTGGAAATGTGCCGTGTTAACCGGTTAACTGTGTTTGACGAGTATACGTCATCGTAAAGCTTGACATGATACTAATTCTTTCAGCGATGAATTCTTTGTTTTTCCATGTAAACATGTAACTCTTCTTTGTTTCGCTTTGATCTTTCATTAAAACATACTCTACGTGCATTCGTCCTCCGTACGACGAGCACACGCTCCATTTTTTTATTTTATCGCGAGAACGAGAGGTTTCTCCAACTAAATTCCACAGTTGACTGGTTAACACGTTGTAGGAGAATACAAAGTAGAAAAAAATACAATATCAACCCTTTGCACTTGGAAAGCAATTCTCGATCACTTATATTTATATTGTAAATAATGCTACTTAACGCGACATTCAGTGAGGCAAATTTTCTCAACGCAATTCAATGAAACAATTGAGTATTGTATCTTTCTCATCTCGCATATTGTGCACCTTAATCCTTTGCGGTCCGAATTTGAAACTAATTAACGAGAAAACATATAAATTAAGAAGGAAAGTTATTTTATTTCAATATTCCATATATCGATGTATCATACAAAGCTTAATATTGTATATAAGACTTTATAATTTTGCAAATCAAATCTGATGACTGAGAGTCGCCTCTCGAGTGCAAAGGGTTAACCCTCCGCGGACGAAGATTGAAACATGCAAAATCAGCAGATGAAGCTAAATTATAGATGAATTACTTAAATACTAGAAGAAACTACGTGCTGATCCCTTGCTGTATTTAAATCATTCGTGCTAATTAACACTAGAACTACGCACCAGTCAAAATGACTGGTCTCGATTGTTCTGTTTCGCAATTGTTGGTACCTTAAAAGCATTGAACATCAGAGTGCAAAGGGTTAAAATCGTGCGGTGTTCAACGTGTCAATTTATACTCTACTAGCAGACGTATGTTTTCGCGACAGGTACTCGGAAAGTCCCCGAAGGGTCCCGCGGAAGGGAAGCATAAACTGTGTCCGAGCCGAGTCCCAAACTAGCCG